GCCACCACTACCTGGCTGAGCCCAGAATGCTTTTACCGGACTATTCTGAAATTGCATCCTGTTTGGTCCTTCCATCTCTGTCCATTTTCATTTCCTTCTGGTTGTTTCTCTGGACCCTGATGCAGATGCCACAGTGATAAACTGTGACCCGTGGTCAGTCTCAGCCCAGCTCCTGTTGTGGCGTTTGGGATGGAATGTAGGGCCTCACGCGTGTTAGATAAACTCTCTGCCTCTGAGTTGCACCCCAAACCTGCTGCTGGGTTCTTTCATAACTTTTAGACTTTAGTGTTTGTGTTGTTGGTGGTGTTTTTTGCTTTTGTTTTGTATTGTGTTTTGAGAAACATACCACACTTGTAGTATTTATGTCTGAATTCTTTGGTTTTTGCATTCTCATTTCTTTTATCCTGAAAAATTTGTCTTTTACTTTGTTTATTCTTTTTTCCAGAAAACTCATCCATCCTCTCTCTCTCTCTCTCTCTCTCTCTCTCTCTCTCTCTCTCGTTTAAGTAGGGGTTTACCCACTTGTTTATTGTTATTGTTTGTTTTGACTTGGGTGTAGGTATTTGAGGGCCTTGGAGACCAGAAGATGATGTTGTATACTTCTGGACTAGAGCTACAGGCAGTTGTGAGTCACCTGATGTGGGTGCTGGAAGCCAAACCTCGGTCCTCTTTCTTAACTGCTGACTCATTCTCCAGGCTCAAAGATAGTGCTACTCAACCAAGGAATGATGAGAGTAGAGAAATAGTCTTAGTCTTCTCCAGGGAAGAGCATACCAACTGCCAATACCAAATGGTCAGCCCTGAAAACATACATCCAAATAACATTATACAGACTGAGCAGGTTAAGAATATAGTTGTATATGTGTGTACATATATGCTGTAATAATAATTAATGAAAAAGGAGGTCATACATTTGAAAGAGAGCAATGAGAGGTATCATGGGAGGGTTTAGAGGGGAAAAAGAAGAAAAAGAAATGATGTAATTATATTACAGTCTCCAAAATAAAAGAAAAAGTAAAAATTCTATTTGCCAATTATTTGTTCCTTTATAAAAATGCAGGCAGTTTTAATTTGATGACCATGTTAAGCCACAGAATTGCAAATAAATACTCTACTTATTCTTCATAGAAGTGTTTCATTAGACACAGTTGCACAATTTGTGAACAGGTGTTCACACATGCATGTGCTTTGGAGATATAATCTCACCATGCTGGTCTCTAATTCTCCCTGCAGTGCACCTGTGGTACAGCTAAGATTTAAGGAGCTTGTCCAATACATATAACCCTACTTAAGCCCGAGTGTTGTGTTTATAGACATATTCCACCATGCCCGGCCAATGTCTGTCTCACTTTTGATTGATGGGATCTTTCTTTTGGGGGGCGTGTTGTGAGACAGGGTTTCTCTGTGTAACAGCCCTAGCTGTCCTGGAAGTTGCTCTGTAGACCAGGCTGGCCTCAAACTCCTCACAGAGGTCCACCTGCCTCTGCCTCCTGAGTGCTAGGATTAAAGGTGCATCCACCACTGCCCAGTGATTGATGGGATCTTTGAAGTCTATTACTTAATTACCAAATGTGAAATTTTTATTTTAATCTGTTTTCAATTGCTACTATGATTTCTAATTTAATTGTGCTGTGATTAGGATATTTTCCTGTATGATAATTTCCCTTGAGGTTTGTTGATAATTTATTCTCCAAAAGCTTAGCTTATGGTTGGTTATATCTATTAAGCTATTTTTGTTGTAAGTACTTTAACATCAAGCAGTGGCATATATCCTGTTTTACTCAACTTCTTTGTCATTGTTAGTCAGTGTTTTAGTCCTTTTTCAGAATCCCCTAAAATAGAACTGCCTTGTTTATCTATAGAGACAATATTTATATTTTCTAGTTTATTGGCATATTACTTTTTTGCTGTAACATGATTTATGTGTTCCTGGAAATTCAACAGGCCTCTCGGGAAGGACATGAATGAGGCAAGAATGGTCTCTGTAAAGTACAGCAGATTCCTTCTTCATGGCATTTACCCCAGAGTGGAGACCGGTTAGTCCTTTGCAGTCTGAAACCCTGTGGCTGTGTCTCCTGTGGGCTGCAGGACTGGGAGGGACTTGCTGCCCAGGGAGCCTGGTCTTTTCTGTACCCAGGGACATCAGTCTGTGCCAGCAGAGATGCCTATGGCTTTACTTTCTCCTTAGAGCTCTTCCCTCAGGACTCAGACCCGCTGTCTACAGACTCCAGTCTTTCCATCCTTGTCTCTATGAAACAGGCGGTTTCTGCTTGAATATCGTTGCTGAGTCTGACAAACAGGGAATGCTCTCAGAGAATACACGGGTGAACATGTGGGGCTCTTACTTCTTCCTCCCAGAGAAATTTGCTCTCATTCATTCTAGTACCCATCTTAGTTTCTTCAGACCGGCTGCACCTGTGTTTCTTCAACTGTCACAGGGACATGGGGGTGGCTGTGAACCAGTGCCAGAGTTTTATTGCTTGAAATTTTCAAAAAGATTCACTTCCTATTTCTCACATTTTATATTTGTCATCTGAAAACAATTCTAAATCTGAAGCCATTGGTGGTTCCAACTGATTGCCTGTCATTTCTACCCTTTTGATTGTGGTGGCCTTGCTTCAATGTGTGTTCTTTAGCATTTTCTTTTTTATTAAAATGTGATCACTGTTCACCTTCCCTTTCTCACCTGGTTGTGTGAGGTCGTTACTTCCTACAAAGGACTCACTGGCTGCTCACTTTTGTTCTTTCTAAGGACAGTACCTAGCCAGTGCCATGCCAGATGTACAGGAAAATGGGCTTAAACTATTTTAAAACTCTCTTAGTCTTAGAGATTCTGTAGTCCAAATGTGGTAAGTTTTTGTCAGGAGGACTTCCATGTCCTCTCCTCAGCAGCCCAGTCTTGCTCAGGGTAGCCCCTTCTGGAATGTGGTTTGATGATGGAGGCCATTTCTGCCCTGTCTTATAGTGAGTGCCAAGCGTGGGGATCCCATTTCGGTACCAGTGGTCATTTTCCCACACAGCCATACCTTGGGTCAGTCCAGATTTTGGGAAAACAAAAACAAAAACAAAACCCACATCAGTGGTGGCTAGCACACAGCCCTTGAGTCTGGCTATCTTCCTGCCCCACCCATCCTGCAGCTGGCTATTCTGCTTGAGGGTCCTCTGTTTCAGTATACTAACTTGTTATTAAGAAGATAACCTGCTTTCGAGAGTGAATTTACGTAGCCTGTGCTAGCTTTCATCCTGACCCTTTCTCATGTTTCGCTTCCTCCAAACCCTGTCATGGACCCCACCTTGCTCTCTTTCATGGCCTCTTTTCAGTTTTTCACTAATTGCTATTACATGCGTATATGTATATGTATATGTATATGTATATGTATATGTATATGTATATGTATATGTATATAATTTCCCCATGATTTTGCTATGGCAAATTTATCCAGGCTCTTGTGTCTTTATTTTATTTCTTTTTAATTATTTAGTTCTTCGACTCCTGCTTGGTTCCTTTCCTCATTTACTTCTTGGCTTTGTTGTATTTACTGGGGAGGAGTTAAAAAGGCACAACATTAAAACGATACATCTTTCTTTAAAAGTAGTATGTGCTTACCATGGAAGCATTTTCTAGATGTTAAACGTGAAAAAACAGTTGTTGCCAGAAAGCTACTCATGATCAGTCTTCTTGTTCTGTGTCCCCATGTGCAGTGCCTCTGCTGTGACAGGGCTCCTTTGGGACAGAAAGATGGTCTCATGTCTCTCCCCTGATACCTTACTATATCATATACCTCTTGTGTCCTTTAAACTTCCATGTTTTCAGTATCCTTCATGTGAGTATTTTTGTACATTTCTTGTGGTTACATGTTTTATAATTTTTCACTATTAGAGAACTTAAAAGGCTCTTTCTACCCACAGAGATAATGTCATACAGATTAGTAGAATGTTGGGGGGTTAGTAAGTATTACCAACTGTTTTCTCAGAAGACTATGTAACTTACTTACATCTTCAGCAGGAAAATTTGATGGTGTTCATATCAAAGCATTTGCTTTAAAGTACTTGCAGGTGGGTGACTCTGGAACCAAACTCTGTTGTTTTGCTCCGGCTGCTCTCTACTGTGTGTGACTGGTCAGTGATCAGGGAGAAGCTGCATTCTTTGGGCTCCACAGTGGGCTTTGGCATGCATGAGCCCTTCCATTTTTGTTGCTCCTTAATACCTTCTTCAGTTTTATGGATAGTCTTTAAAAGGGGTAAAAAGAATTTGGCAGTGAGAGGTGGCTCAAGTCACTACACATCTCCTTGGATGTCTCTGAGGTCTTAGCAACCCTGTTATCCACAGAGTTGAGGCAATGCCTTACTATAGCTAAAAATAAAGAATTGAGAGAATTATATAGCTTACCTGAAAAGGATGCCACTCCTGACTGAAATAACCTAGGGAGCCGAGTTTATGGTACAAGGATGGTGGGCGCTGAGAGAGCAGAAAAGGGGACAGTGAAGAGGCAGCAATGAGAGGAGTCAGAGAAGAGCCCAGAGAGCTGGGTCTACAAGTGGGGTGCTAGCTCTCTATTCTCCAGAGCCCTGCAAGAGAAACCCCAGGCCAAAGCAAGCTAGACTGGATGACGAGGTTCAGGGAGTACCTTCATGTTTGTGGGTTCCTGGAAGTCCCTTGCTTTACCCTGTTTCTCTGCCTGGAGATCTACCAGACAGAGGGAAAGGCTCACTAGACTCTGGGAGCATTGGTGTCCATATCAAGGGAGTGGTACCAGCTTGGTGTTTCTCACATCACAGTGTAGGAGGTGAGTAGGGCCTACTCAGATGTGTAGGGTCATCCTGTATCTCCAGGTCTGTCCCTGAATCTGTTCTGCTCAGTAAAGCCAAGTGTCCTTTCTTGGCTGGGCGTATGATAGCCTTCCTCACTTGTCTATGTATGGCCTGGAGCTGGGAGAGACCCATGTGTTATGGTTTTATGTGTGTACATCCCCTAATTTTGAGGCCCTGTGTCCTTATAGGTGGTAATGTGGACCTGGAAGGCCAAGCAGAGGGCAAGAAGGAGGCAGAGGCTGACGATGTGCTGAGAAGAGGCCCCCGGCCCATCGTTCCATACAGCTCCATGTTCTGTCTCAGCCCCACCAACCTGTGAGTCTCCTCAGTGCTTGAGGCCTGGGTTTGTCCTGCCTGTGTCTTTGCCATGAGTATGTGTGAGCACATTAGCCAGCTTATATGCGTTATGCACCTTGTAGAGACTTATTCTATCCATTTATTGAACATCTTTGTCTTAGCAGGCCTGTGAGACACATATGCCACCTCATTTTATAGATGAAGACACAGAAGCACACAGTTTTGTGCCTTGTATAGAGACACAGCCACATAGTCTTGGGGGCGGGGGCTGGGTCCGATGCCAGTGCCTTTCAGAGCCTGTGCAGCAGCCTTCTTTTCCACTGCTGTGTTCACTGCCTCACAAGGGCCCTGCTTGTACTCATGCACGTAGCTCACTCCGTTCACCTCCCCTCTCTTGCCATTGTGTGTTCCTTCCCATGCTGGTCACGATTTATCATCCACTCCTCATTTCTTTGTCAATCCAAACAACATCCACATGCAAACGGCATTGTACCTGCTGATGAGGAAGACAGGCAAGACTTGTTTTTATTCAAAGCATGTGGTCAGTGGGAAGGACAAACAAGTAAGATGATGCAGGGATATTTAGTGTACTGGACAGTGATGAAGACTAGAAAGAAACAGTGGGGGTAGAGATGTAGGCTTCTGTTACCATTAAAATCAGCGGAAAGATCAGGTCAGGGCCTCAGCGGGAAGAACGGATCAAACACTTGAGCAAGGGGAGGAAGAACACTCTGGGTAGAAGGGAGAGGTTAGAACCCTACAAAAGCTGATTGGCCGGAGTGGGGTGGGTGGTGAAGAGGTCAGAAGGTGGCAGCTTGGGAAGAGCGACCGTTACTCTTCAGCTGCCCCCCTGCCCTCCGCTTTCCACCATCTCACCAACGCTCTCTTTCTTTACCCAGCCTTTGGGTTTTCACTCAGCACCTATTTACTGGATGCTTACTCCGCTAGGCTCTGGGTTGGAATGACAGTATATTGGTGAGGCAGAGAGATTAAGATGGGGAGGTTCTGGAGCAGGCAGAAGGCTGGTGGCGCTGTCCTGAAGGGAGTGATGTCTCAGTGGAAGGCGAAGGATGCGTTAGGATGAAGTGGAGAGGACATTTATGATGGTCCAGAAGTAGAAGGCAGCCAGCTGGACCGATGTAAAGAGAAGCTCCCTTTGGCTGCCTGTGGAGGACTAGCCACAGTGAGGTCCCATCTTCCGCAGTTCAGTGCTGCCCACTGGTGGAAGAATATGGAAGGGAGGCTGATTAGGAGTCAGACAAGGAAGAGATGAGGTGTGACTTTGGTAGTGAGGAAGAGGCTCGGAAGTGAAGTGTTGGGGGAAATTTTCAGATGCAGAATATGCTGATCAATTAGAAATAGATGGAAGGGAGGTATCAGGGATATATGAGCTCCCATTTGCTGACAAAAGGCCGGGTCATCAGTGAGATCAGAAGTATTTGGGGGAGTCTGGCTGGGCTTTGGGGGTCTCGTTAGTGCTAGATCACACAGAAGTAGGACATCTGGGGCATCTCATGGCCAGGTGAGCTGGCAGCACAGATGAACAGAGGAAAGTAGCTGTGAGCTGGATGACGGAGTTAGAAGAGGAGAGGGCATCCTGAGGGATAAGGGGCTTGCAGGCTGCCCGGAGCATGGGAAGAGTAGCTTTGTAGGATAGGCAAAGGGCTGCAGAGGAAGAGGAGAGAAGTAGGTGGACGGTGGCTGAGAAATTGCAAGCTTTTGACAGTAGACATTCCTGGGGATGTGGAGTTGAGGGAGGGACCTGGAGGGGCTGGTGGTAGGGGTAGACTTGTGGATCCTGTTGAGGTGCTGGCCATAGTAGGAGAGATGTCTGTTCCACATGCTGGGTCCATGGTTGCTCTTTCTTGTCTGCCACATGCATTCAGCCTTCCCAACCTGGCCAGGTGGCTGTTTCAGTACTTGGCGACCGAGAGGCTCTGGTTTGGTTATCACTGCACTGCTCAATGGGGATTGCTTCCTGGAGTGGAACTTCATGTAACCAGGACCTGGGTTTTCTCATTTGATATACAGTGATGTTGAAAACCAAACAAAGGTCCTGGCCAGCTGATGTGGGAAGCAAGTACATGGTGGTGGCTTGCACTCATCACAGGCCTAGACACTCTAGAGCAACAGTGGCCTGCTTTCTGCCAGGCTGGTGTACTGAAATACTTTCTTCACTGACCACCTCCTCTAACCCACCCTCCTGCTTTACATGGTCTATGAAGAGCTGGGTGGTTCCTATCTGCTCTGGGGCTACCCACAGTACACAGCTGAGTGGAGGCAGTTATGCTCCCACACAATGCTAGTCACCAGCATAAGGTCTGGCCTTGAACTGTAGTTCACTGATCCCTGACCTGAAATGCCTTCTCAGGAAACTCAGTGACAGTCACCTGGCTGTGGACTCTTCACCACAGAAATAAGGTGTGGGCAAAGCTCCATTCTGATGCTGCTGTGCTTTCCTGTAGCAGCCAATGAGCCCTTCTTGTGAGAGAGGTTGACATACTCAGCTGCTGACCTGTGGTGACCTTGTCCTCACAGGCTCCGTCGCTTCTGTCATTACATTGTGACCATGCGGTACTTTGAGATGGTGATTCTTGTGGTCATTGCCCTGAGCAGCATTGCCCTGGCTGCTGAGGATCCTGTGCGAACTGATTCATCCCGGAACAATGTGAGTGTCATAACTACTGGGACACTGCTAGGCTGCCCTGGTGCCACCAGATATTCCCAGGGTCCGCAGGGATGGGGTGGTGCTGATGCCCTATTTTCCCTCAGACATCCTTCTTCCCTCCAGGGGTGTTCAAACCAAAGATCTGGGAAAGCCTGTCTCCTTTAACCCTGCTAACATGCCAGAGTTAGCAGGGCAACTCCCGAAAGGGTCCTTCCCAGAGGGATGTCCTGACCCTGAAGCTAGGATCCTGCCAATGATGTATCCCTGCCTCTAGATTCAGGGCAGCCTAAAGTAATCCTATTTTTGGTTCTAGGCTTTAAAGTACATGGATTACATCTTTACAGGCGTCTTCACCTTTGAAATGGTCATAAAGGTGAGATATGGCGACTCCTGCAGTTTCTATGAGGCATGTAATGTGTGCAAGCAGGCGTGTGTTCAGTCGGCAAATGTGTGCATGAGTATTTTGATGGCTAAAAGCCTTACCAGCCACAAAGGGTCTCAGTGTCATGCTGTCCCATGGAATGCTGCTAGGGAACTTGGTACCAGTGTTCTTGGCTTCTGAGAATGGGGACTTCGGGCTTTATTTATAAAGTGTGTGTGTGTGTGCGCATGTGTGTGCGTGTGTGTGCGCCTGTGTGTACTCAGCTTCCTCTCCAGGGTTGCCTCATAGCCACAAAGAAGGAGCCATATGACAAGGCACAGAAGAAAGTAGATCTTAGAAAGAGATGTTTGGAACACTTTTGGATGCTGAAGAGAGTTTCTATAGGAGCTAGAGATTTCCTGATAGCCTGAGAGTCTGCCATTGTTAGTATTATAGGCATCTTTACTGACCTGTCCTTGGGGTTCTGACAGGATACTAGGAGCACCACCTGTGTGTATTCACTGTGTTCCCTTTTAAAAGGGCCCTGCCCGCCTCCCATCATCCTCTCTCTCTTTCTTACTTTCCCTCCCTCCCTCTGTCTATTCCTCTCTCTCTCTGCCCCTCTTTCCTCACTCCTGATGCTCTTATCTCTAGAAGCCAGTCCCCCCTTTCCCCTTTTATGATCCCTTTCTCTAATGAACAACCCCTCTGCTTGAACCCTGTTACATGGCATCTTTCTCTCTTGGGCTGCTTTTCTTAAATTACAACAGCCATGTTATGGCAACTTCTACTTTCTTTACAAGGTGCCCTTTGTCTGTGCCTGGCATACACAGAAGTGCATTCAGTGCAGCGAGCTACACACACGTGCCCCTGCATCAGTGAACGCACCTGGGCAGCTGCCTGCCTGTAGTCAGTTCAGAGAGACTGCACACTTGAAAAATGGTCCCTAAGTGTATTACTTCTGCTCACAGTCTCTGAGGAAGGCACCAGCTCACTTTGCAGATGCAGATGTTGAAGATAAAAGATGGTGGTATTTGTCAAAAGTCACTGTAGCAGAAATGGCAGAGTTAGGACATGAAGCTCAGATCAGCTTGTTCTTTTCTCCTGAGCTTAGCTTTCAGGTCTGGGCCATGTGAGTTCTTGAAGGGAGCATGTCTGTTGCTAGAGAGGTAGGGGATGGTGAGACAGAGCTCTTACCACAGTGGAGCTTCAGGAAAGATTGGAATCTAGACAGGACTCAAGACAGTTATGGCCTCTGTAGGGACATTGAGGTCAAGACCCTATTGAAGCCATTTAAGAGTGTGACCCAGGGACTGGAGAGATGGCTCAACAGTTAAGAGCACTGACTGCCCTTCCAGAGGACCCAGGTTCAATTCCTACCACCTGCATGGCAGCTCACAACTATGACTCCAAGATCTGACACCCTAACACAGACATACATGCAGGCAAAACATCAAGGCACATATAAAACTAAATTATAGAAAAAAAGAAGAGTGTGACCTGTGTTGCTTCCCCTCTCTGAGAGGGTATGTAGTGTGTGTCTGAACTACTCCCCTCTCTGAGAGTGTGTCGAGTGTATCTGAACTGCACTGAGGTCACAGTGTACACCACATGTAGTGTGATCTGAGCAATGGGCCTATACTCAGAACTATGTCCCTCCGTGGCTGGGGCCTGCCTCTGCCTCTCTTTTCCTTATGTACTGTACTCTAATGTCAGCTTTTTCCCTTAAGATGATAGACTTGGGACTGCTGCTGCACCCTGGAGCCTACTTCCGAGACTTGTGGAATATTCTGGACTTCATTGTTGTCAGTGGAGCCCTGGTGGCATTTGCTTTCTCGTAAGTAAATCTTGCATTTACTCTGGATCCTGTGGGTGTAGCCAGAACCACGGTGGGGTGTGAGGGTGAGGAAAGAGAAAGGTGGGGCTCCTGTTTGGTCTGTAGCTCCATAACTTCACAAACAGGGCCATCGTACCTTCTGGGGGCTGGAATGTGGGGTTGAAAACGGAGGCCGTCTGTTCCTGACACTACCTGTGGTCTGGGCACTGGCTGGGCAGGCCTATGGGTTGGGGGCACCTGCCTTGCTCCTTTGGAGCCCATTTACCTGCTCTGAGGTGAGTGCCCAACTGAGGGATTGGCATTTTGCCCCAGCTGGTAGAAATCTTTGTTTGTTGGGGTATGAGATTATCCTTGCTGATTGCTATCTTAATTACCCTTAGCTTGGTGATGGTTGGGACTAGACCCTCCATGGAGAGTCTAGGTTAGGCCAGGCATAAGATGGTAGAGGGGAAGGTGTGGGGTGAGATTTAGGGACAAGAATGGCCCTAGGGGAGGGTCTGTTTTCTCTGGCTCTTGGGTGGGCCAGCGGAGGCTTGTGCTCTGCCCCCACAACGCTGACTCTGTTCTCTTTGTCTTCTTCTTGCTGGACTCTGGTAGGAGCTTCATGGGGTAATGCCTCCCCTTCCCTTCATATTGCCTGACATCATGGCACGCCATGGCCTCTGGCCCATTCATCATGGCCTCACTCCTGCTCATCCACCTTCACCCTGTGTAGGCTGCATGCTGCCTACCAGGAGCCATCCCAGGCCACCATTCCTACCATGCCTCTGGGGATTGATTGGGAGCTGGGCTGGGTTAGGCATGGTCAGCCCTTGCCTTCAGTAAGCAGTATCTGATGAGTGTATTAGAGGCTGGGGCTTTGGCCTAGAGAACAGTGAGGGGTCTGGGCAGAAGCTGGCAGTAGTGACCACAGACCATGCTGCTGGACATCCTGCAGTGTTTTCCCAAGGGGCTGTTGTCTGGAAATGCAGCTTTCTTTTTTCTCTCCGCTATAGGCCCCCTTCCCAGAACCTCCCAATGTCTCCTCTGGGTGTCTTAATGGATCCTCTGTCCATTAAGGAAATGAACACTTTGCTAGAGTATTAGCAAGGGCCCTGGAGAACTCTAGGCAGCATGGGAGAGAGGCTCCAGGTGGTAGTAGGGAAAGGATGGGACTCAGCCTGTGGTCTCTGAGTGGGCAGAGAGGGAAAGACTTGAGCCCAGAGAGTGGCTCCAGTGGACACCTCTTCTTGGAAGTCCTCTGGTACTTCCAGAGGGTGGTGGGTAACGGTGGGTGTTGGAAGTGTTGGGTGATAGAAAGAGAGGTTTTGTTGTTTTGGATAACCAAGCTAGCCCAGGGTAACCTCGGACTCTCAAGCCTTCTGAGATGTCCAGCTTTAAGAACAGTTTGAACTGATTCTGAGATGTGGGGCTGAGGAAAGGAACGTGTGGGGACCATATGTCTCCTTTCCTGTGAAGAAGGCCTGGAATGTGCAGCTGCTTTCTGTTTACCCATTTGGGGCTGACCCAGCCACACTTGCAGGCCAGGCTCAAGGGTCTGGGTGGGAGTGATGTCTGAGCTAGCTAGGATAGGGCTCCCTATATGCAGGAAGCTTCCCCTGACCTGGCCCCGACTGCTAATTCTTGCCATCCCCAATCTCCAACAGGCAGAGACAGCATTTGTGTCTGCTCTGGTTTCCAGGGGTAGTCTTTTCTAAATATTTATTTATTCATATGAGTGCTCTAGAAGAGGGCATCAGACCCCACTATAGATGGTTGTGAGCCACCATGTGGCTGTTGGGAATTGAACTCAGAACCTCGAGAAGAGCAGCCAGTGCTCCTAACCACTGAGCCACTCTCCAGCCCAAGGGTTCTTTTCTAATCCTAGATTGTTGAGCTTGCCACTGGTACCTAGAGTCCTGCCTAACTTCTGTCTCTCTCACCTGAGTTTTCCTGTCTGCTACTTTCTTGATCATCCTCGTATCTGGCTGCTTCTCTGGGTCTGTCTTTTTCTTTCCTCCTCCTTACCGCTTCTTCTCCCCCTCACTGTCTCCTCCCCTCCTCCACCTCCCCTCCCCTATTCCTTTGACCCATCTCTTCTTTCTTTCCTTTCTTCTCTCTCTATCTCACTTTATGCCAGTCTCTGGCATTGCTTCTGTATTATATCTCTTTCTCACTCTTGCCCTACTTTCCTTTTGGTCACCTGAGGGGGGTGTTCTGCAGCTGATGACATTCAGGTGGCACCCCCAAGTTCTAGCATAATAGGTAGGCTCACAGACCTCTGCTCTGCTGGTTTGGAAGTGTCTGTCAGGAACTCTGGGCAGGCGGAAGTAGCCATTACAGCCAAGTGCTTGGGCTCTTTCCTCTTGAGAAATCAGCTTTCCTGTATACTAGTTGTTCACTCTGGTTTGGTACTGGCCCTAGCCCACCCACTGCTCTCAGGTAGACACGGGAAGAGTTTCCCCACTGAGTCCTCTCCCTGGAGCCTGAGACAGAATGTACAGGGCCATAGTAGACGGACCAAGCAGACTGGGTAGGGTCTGGCCTAAAGCCAGCGCTTTGCCTGTCAGCATCAGCAACTTCTCCCTTCTAGAGGATCCAAAGGGAAAGACATCAATACCATCAAGTCCCTGAGAGTCCTGCGTGTCCTGCGGCCCCTCAAGACCATCAAACGGCTACCTAAGCTCAAGGTTGGAGTCTGGCATTTGGGCTCAAGGCGCGTGCCGTGCATGTGGGTGCGCTGGGGTGTGGGTGGGCACATGCATCTTCACAAACTGGCTACCTCTATGAGGGGACAGTCTTGCTTAACTCTGAGACCCTTCTCCAAGGAGGTCTGTTCCCAACAGAGGACCCTCTTCCTTGACCTCCAGCACCAGGTGGGCCACGATGGTAGGACAGTGAAGAACAGAGGACAAAGGGCATATGGGTAGGATGCCAGAGTCAGGGATTCCAGAAAGTAGCTTCTGGGCTCAGCCAAAGAGGGAGGGTGCTTCTGCATTTCTGGATCCAGGAGGTTCCGTGTAACCCTGATCTAATTCAATGCTTAGTGAGCCCGAGTCAAGGACAAAGCGCTTACTGTGCTTTCACTTCTCTCGTGCTTCATAACTTACGCAGTAGGTTTTCATCTCAACAGCTTGGACATGTAAACCTCAGAGACACTAATCCAGGTGTAAGTTATAGGGGAAAGGCGGCTTAGTACTCGTGTATCAAGTGATGTGTGGGGAAGTGAACGGGAAAGGCCTCAGGAAGTCCCTGGGCCAAGGCAGCAGGAAAAGAGTGCTGTGCATGGGCCTGCAGCTTCCTTGGTCCAGGCAGCTGGCAGCGTTTGGAGTATGCTAACCAGTGTCTCTGGAGATCATTGTTAGTCTTCAAGGTCGCCTGAGAGGAAGGTCAGCACTGGGAGCAGGGTGAGGACCCTGAGTCTTATCTAGATCCCAGAACACATTCAGATTCTGTCCCAGGGTCCTCAGGGACACAGTCCCTTGTCAACAGCTTTATCTGTCCTCCATATCAATGCTCTTGCTGGGCAGGAACAAAGCAGGAACAGTGTACAAGGTTAGTGCATTTTCTCTGCACAGGTCTGGTCCCTTTTGGCTCCTGCCTATGGCCTGGCTCTAGCCTATAGCAAGGCCACTTTCCCTGGGCATCCAGGTAGCTGGTCTAGTACCTCCAGCCTACAGGTCAAAGCCAGGATGATATTCCCTTCCTGAGAAAAGGAGAGCTCTTAAGGTAGCTTGCAGTAGTGCCTTCTGTGGTCATGGGCTGCAAATGGTTTCTTGAATGCCCCTGGGAGTCTGGGCCTCAGGGCGGGGCTGAGGTTCTGTCTTGTTCCCTATTTTGATGCCCTCCGTACCCTTTCCTACCTAACTCCCATCTGCCCTCTCTCAGGGACATAGCTCTCTCTCATGACCACTCGACTCCCCTTTGCTTCTCCCTCGTGTAGTCACTTCTTCTGTGGCTTTGCTGTCTCCCCTTGCAGGCTGTGTTTGACTGTGTGGTGAACTCCCTGAAGAACGTCTTGAACATCTTGATTGTCTACATGCTCTTCATGTTCATATTTGCTGTCATTGCCGTACAGCTCTTCAAGGGGAAGTTTTTTTACTGCACCGATGAATCCAAGGAGCTGGAGAGGGACTGCAGGTAACCTGAGGCTTAACTTACTGGAAGGTTCATCCATGTGAACTGGGAGTGCCTACCTAGTTCCTTCTTATGGCTTAACATCAGTTCTGTGATATGCCACATTGTATCTGTTGAGTCACTTGTTACCTGACTTTGGGTTGTTTCTACCTTCTGGCTAATGCAGATAATGCTGCCATCAACTTATTTGCACAAGTTGTTGTTTTTGTAGATGTGTGTTTTAATTTCTCTTGGATGTATAGCTAGAAGCAGAACTCCTAGGTAATATGGTAACTGTTTTGCTATTTGGAGAGATGCCAGATGTATTCGAAGTGGCTGAGCCATTCTGTATTTCTACCAAGGGTTCTGATTTCTCTACATCCTTACCAATACATGTTATTTTCATTGCTTTTATTTATTTTAATTTTTCATTCTGTTTATTTATGTGTGTGTGTAAGGTGGGGGTATATATACTTGGCACATCACCTGTAATCAGAGGACACTTCCCTTCTTCCACCATTTAGGCCCCAGGGATTGAACTGAGACTTCGCAGCAACACCTTTACCTGCTGAGTGGTCTCACCAGCCCTGTTCACTTTTATGTAGTTATGTTTATTCTAATATGATTGAAATCATACCTCAATGTGGTTTTGGTTTGCTTTTTTCTGATAATTGATGATATTGAGCATTTTTCATGTAATAATTTTCTTTTTTACTTCTTCAAGGAAAATATCTATTCAGTTATTTGATCCATTTTAAAAAATTAGGTTGTTTCTTTTGGTATAGATTTTATCCATATTTTGTATGTTTTAAATACAAGTTTTCTTACTGATAAAAGAGCAACAATAGTTTCTGTGATTATTTGAATCATCTTTTCACTTTGCTTTTTTTTTTTTTCTCTCTCTCTCTCTCTCGAGACAAAATCAAAGCTAGAACTCATGACCCTCCTCTCCTGCCTCAGCTTCCGAATGCTGGAATGGAAGGCATGCCCCATTGCACCAAGAGAATTCTTATTTTAAAAATGACTTACCGCATTTATTTTGGCAGGGGCACATACTATAGTGTCCATGTGGTAGTCAGAGGACAACTGTGAAAGTCAGTTCTGCCCTGTCCTCACCCACATCTTAGGAACTGAACTCAAGTTGTTAGTCTGGGCAGCAGCATATATTTTTACCCACTAACCCAGTCACCAGTCCTCTCCTACTTTTTGTTTTGTTTTTTCGAAACAGGGTTTCCCTCTTCTACTTTTTTATGGTGTTTTTTGAAACAACAAAAAGTTTTTAATTTTGCTGAAATCCAGTTTACCTTTCCCTCTGCTTTTGTTGTTCATGATTTTGATAATCTAGCTAAGAATCCATCCCCAAAAACAAGGTCATAAAGATTTGCCATGTGTTTTCTTCAAAGAATTTTATAGATTTGATACATACATTTACATTTTTGGTCCAGTTTTTTTCATTCTTAATAAAATTTTATTATAAAAAAACATTGATCTGGACATTGATGGCACACGCCTTTAATCCCAGCATTCGGGAGGCAGAGGCAGGTGGATCTCTGTTAGTTCAAAGCCAGCTTGGTCTACAGAGCAAGTTCTAGGACAGGCTCCAAAGCTACACAGCGCAAACCTGTCTCAAAAAAACCAACCAAACCAAAAACAAACAAAAACAAAACAAAAACAAAAATCGAATAGTGAACTCAACCAGTTTCAAAGTCTATGCATCTCAATGATAAATATTTGATAATGAAAGTGGCCTAATTTTATAAAATATGCAGTGAGGTATAGTTAGTGGGTCTGCATGTAGAGTGATTGGAAATGCATTTGTCTTACCACTGTCATTAAAGAGACTGCTCTTTCCCCACGGAATGGCCTTGTTAACTTTCAGAAGTCATTTGACTGTAGATTCATGGGTGTATTTGAACTGAGTACCTTTAATTTCTTTCATCTACTATGTTCCTATTTCCAGGGGCCAGTATTTGGATTATGAGAAGGAAGAAGTAGAAGCTCAACCAAGGCAGTGGAAGAAATATGACTTCCACTATGACAATGTGCTCTGGGCCCTGTTGACGCTGTTCACGGTGTCCACAGGAGAGGGGTGGCCCATGTGAGTGCTAAGCTAATCATTGTAGCTAGTTTGGCAAAAACAGGTAGACTGAGGCAGAGTCTGCTTAGTTTACCTACTGCCAACCCATAACTAGGTCAGGTGTGGTATAGATAAGAGCCCTGTTCCTCTAGGGCAGAACTGAGTTTCATTCCTAAGATATAAATATGCACCATATTCCAGGGGTACGACTTGAGCCCATTCTGTGACGCACAGCCTTGTACCCTTCCCCTGAATACAAACAACCTCATCCCTGAGGTACATGTGTGAGCCCTGGTCCCGAAGTGCCGGCCTAAGTCCTATTCTTGACATGCAGACCTGCTTATTGTCCCTGAAGTCTGACACTGAGGTGCAGACTGGAATCCCCATCCCTAAGGTACAGAGATGAACCCTGCTCTTAAAGTGCAGACCAGAGCCCAACCCAGATGTGCAGACCAGGCACCCTGGAAGCTCTCCTGAAGTCTGCTTTCCCCTTACCTAGGGTGCTGAAACACTCTGTGGACGCCACCTATGAGGAGCAGGGGCCAAGCCCCGGGTTCCGGATGGAGCTTTCCATCTTCTATGTGGTCTACTTTGTGGTCTTCCCTTTTTTCTTTGTCAACATCTTTGTGGCCTTGATCATTATCACCTTCCAGGAACAGGGGGACAAGGTGATGTCTGAATGCAGCCTGGAAAAGAATGAGGTAGGTAGATGTTATGGGATACCAGGACGGGGGCATATGGGCAAGATCAGCACACTTCCTTCTATACATGCCTGGCTTGTGGCTGGCATAGGCAGGACCACTTTCTTTCTTCAAATAGAGACTGTGCTGGTCAGATGGGCCTATTTGGAGGAAGCTTAGCTGCCTGTACTGCCTTCTGCTATGTGGGCTCCCTGAGAGGGCATGGTGAGAAAGTTCCAGTTGTAGTGGACGATGCTTTGAGTTCGTGATATTCCCTTTTCTCCCTGCAGAGGGCTTGCATTGACTTTGCCATCAGTGCCAAACCCCTGACACGATACATGCCCCAAAACAAGCAGTCATTCCAGTATAAGACGTGGACATTTGTGGTCTCTCCGCCCTTTGAGTACTTCATTATGGCCATGATAGCCCTCAACACAGTGGTGCTGATGATGAAGGTATGTAAGGCCCACCATACTTGCTAAGGGTTGTTGTGTGTGAGACTTTTTCTGTGGAGACATCATACACACATACACTCATAGACACACACACACACACACACATGTGCACATGCACACAGATACATAGACTCGTGCGCACGTGTACACACACACACACACACACACACACACACACACACACTCTCTCTCTACTATTCACCCAGATAGGGAACCCATAACAGACCAAGTAATGATTCTACCTAAGTCCAACTAGGTAGGTGAACCAAAAAATTTTTATTGGGGTTACTTACAGAAAAAGGGAGAGGGCAAATGTGGCTGTATCATACACACACAAAACCAACAACAATAACAACAAACAAACAAAAACAAAAAACAAAAACAAACCAAAACCAAAAAAATACCTCAGCATAGATGACGACTCACAAAAGCTGTAATGAAGAGCTCTCTGCACAGCTTGCAGCAGCTCAATATGCCTGAGAATCTCTGTAACTAGCATGGGCAGAGTCCCCTCCTCTAGCAGTTTACTGTTTCTACAATCCTGGCGAAGGACCCTTATGGGTCTTGCAAATTTCAGCTTTCCCAGACATAGGAAGTCTCTCTAGAGGAAACGTTTGAATTAGGAGGAGACTGCTGTACAGCTTGGGTGTGGGTGTTATTTTGAAGTCCAGTGGAGGATCCCCTTCTTGCTGGCACATGCTGGCACTGAGTGACCTCATGTCCTGGCCATCGCATTGTGCCTATGGGATCCTGTTCTCTCTTATTTGTAGCTGAGACAGTGAGAAGGTTCTGGAAGAACTGGAAAGAGCAAGGAGGGGTGACCCAGGTATGGGCAGATGCAGATATTTTTCTACCCACTGTGTAGACAGGAAGTTATATTGGTTCCAGTTGGGGTACTGGGACTAGTACACCCTCAACCATCAGCCCTTATTTTTCTGGGCAGTTCTATGATGCACCGTATGAGTACGAGCTGATGCTGAAATGCCTGAATATTGTCTTCACATCCATGTTCTCTATGGAATGCATATTGAAGATCATCGCCTTTGGGGTTCTGGTATGTGCCTCAACTTCTATTTCCCTCATTTCAGAGCTCTTTGCAACACATGTAATTCTGTGGGGATCCCAAGGAAGAGCTGCTTTGCTCTCAATTTCTTGGGTCTTGTCCTGCCCTGGCCTGGGAGGCATGCAAGTCTGAGATTCTCCTTCTGGACTTTTAGCTCTCTGTTATTCATTTACCCAGGCTGGGAGTATTTGCAAGCTTACTGTGACATCTGCTGGTCATTCCCTTATGTTAAGCATCTTACTGCCACCCCGCCCCCCGAAACTTGACTCTTTTTTGACCAGTGGCCACAACCCACAGGTCCTTGCCATTACCACTGTCCTCTGTCTGTCCTCTTTTTCTCTAGAACTACTTCAGAGATGCCTGGAATGTCTTTGACTTTGTCACTGTGTTGGGAAGTATTACTGATATTTTAGTAACAGAGATTGCGGTAAGTAGCATTTCCTGTCCCCCATCCAGGGTCCAAAGCCAGGGTCCAAAGTGGCTTCCTTCTAGAGGGTTGTCCCCTAGGCGTGTCCCCAGGTCTCACTTTAACTGCCTTCTCATGAGCCCCAGGAGTTCCAGGATAGGTCACTGCTACTGCAAACCCTGGTGATGGAGCTGGATGACTGGGTATTTATTGTCAGCAGTTGCACATGTGAAGCAAGCTTTTTCCTAATTTGAACTAATAAAAAAATTAATTACAAAAAAGAATGTAGTTCTGGGGTTGGAGAGATGGCTCAGCAGTTAAGAGCACTGTCTGTTCTCGGAAAGGACCTGGGTTCAATTCCCAGCACCTACGTGGAGGTTCACAACCATCTGTAACTCCAATTCCAGGAGATCTGACATCCTCTTCTGACTCCCTTGCACAGCAGACATGCATATGGTACACAGCCATACATGCAGACAAAAAATACATACTCATAAGACAAATAAATCTTGTTTTTTAAGTGGTTCTCAGAGATCTTTCAGGTTGGTAGCCTAAGAATCTCCTGGAGCTCCATGGTAACCACTGACCAGGAAGACAGGAATCTTAAAATGTGTGTCTTTGTGTATCTGTGTGAATATGTGTGTATTGGGTGTGTTTAACAACTAGGTATCAAGAATATATAAACCAAACCCAGTAAGACTTTGTAACAGTGCTTTGGCTACTGTTTCACTGTTGTGTATTGTTTTAGTTTTTTTCTTTCTCCTGGGTGATGTATTTGTACCCCAGTAGATTAACTTGTGGCCACTGTTGTCTATGTGCCTCCTTTTCTTGCCCTGAATTGATGTTCTGTGAACTCTGTGCTGGTCAGTCTGATACTGACCCTTCTGAAAAACAAACAAACAACAACAACAAAACAAAGGAAGGAGGGTGAAACCTAAAGGTTGATCTTTGACCTCCACATGCATATATAAATACACACCTACAAGCCTATACACACATGAAACCCCATGCAATGTGGTTAGCCAGATGCACAAGACTGAACTATTAAACATTTCATCAGGGATGGGATTGGGACTCATGAGACCCTACCCCTCCCTGAGGGACTATTGGCTGTTTACTGTTGTTGGGAAAGAGGTGCCATTTTCTTTATCCCATGCTCTAGTCGATAATCTTTTATTTATAATCATGCAATCAAGATATTTTTACACTGAAGCTCCATGTTGAGAATGCATTTGAACACATCAGAAGGGCCAAGGATATTCTCAGATGACACCTTCAAAAAAGCTGTTGTCCAGCTACATTAAGTCACAGGTCATTTGATGGCCTCTTACATGCAAAACTAACCAGAAAGGAAGAAAAAGAAAAAACCTTGGGATAGGAATACTTTGTTAAGAAAACGTAGAAAAATCAGACATACCTGGAAGGAGGTCCTTCAGGTTGTTCACCGAATGTGCAGGGGATAGATAGCAGGAAGGGGTGCCAAGCCTCATGAAGGGAGTGCGTAGCCTTGTATCAGAACATAACTTGGCTTATATTTTGAGTAAGCTGTCTTGTCAGGAGGGATGATGTAAGCTGGCTATTAAGGCATGCCTCTGACTTCTTTGTTGGGAATGAGACACAGAGCAACTACAGCAGCAAGCAAGTAGCTATCTCCCTTGGGCTCTCCCAGAAACAAGCCTAAGGCCAGAATTTGGTGCAAAGTTTTCATTTGGGAGTTGATCTTGGGAATAGTGGCCATGCTGGAGGCCAGGGTGGCCACCCTCAAAGGTGTTTGCTACTAAAAGTTACCCTGCGGGGAGCTCTGAGTGAGTGTGAAGCATGCCTGTCATTCTGTCCAGCGACAAGGAGGTTGAGGAGTCTTTATGAACTACTGCTAGTTACTAGCTAAATAAAGCCTTCTAGGGGAGAGGCCAGGGAGCATCCACCATCTGGGAAGTGCCTAGGCAGCCCCCCAGGAAAGAAGTGAATACAGTGTTGGTTTCTGGCCCTGAGACATTGAGGTCTGTGGCCCATGTTCACTGCAGAACCTTTCTGCTGGGAGATGGGCTGTGGAATTGTGAGTTGAACTGTTTGTGAGAAGCTATCAAATTCTAACTATAATAGAGCAATGGATGAACCAGATATGGCCATGGAAGATGAGGCAGACGTGATATGAATTTGTGGTGTAAGCACTTGGAAAAATGGATTATAGTGAATAGAAATGGGAAAGCTGGACAGTTGATGTGGTTGATGGTGTGGATATTCTAGGAACAGGTTTGTTGTGGAAGTTTGGGATGTAGCGTGACGTCTTAGGTTTGAGTCTCCTGGTAGCTCCTTGAAGAGTTATTTGTTGGACAAATAGCCCTGGAGTTCAGTGAAGAAAACCAGGTCTGCTACACAAAATTTGTGGTAGTGAGGATATAAAATGGTATTAGATATGTAAGACTGAGTGAGGTCAGTAAGGGGTGAGTGCCTGGACCCTGAGGTGTTCCAACCTGTAGTGACTAAGGAGCTGAGCAGGAGCCAGCCTAAGAGGCCACTAAAGTGGGCCGTGGAAGGTTCTAAGCAACAGGGATCTTCTGTGAATGAGAAAAACAAAAACAAAATGGGGAAATAAGAAGGTATGATTGGGCAGTTTACAAAACATAAGTGTCCAATTAGCATAGGAGAAGGTATTTAACCTTATCTGTAATCAGAGACGCGCAAACTGAAATGGCATTGAGTTGTCATTTTATAGCACCGGCTCTGTCAACCACTAGACATTCTAATGCTGAGGGTTGACAGACGAGGCTATCCAGAACTCTCACACAGCTGTCAACTGGTCTAGTCTATGGGAAATTTTTACAGAAGCTAAAAAGTTGGCGAGGTACACATCTTCAGCTTAGCTCTTCAAGAGAATGCTATAGCAGCACAGAGATGTCTAGACACACACCAGCAGTGGAATGTGTCAACTTCTGGGGTGTATCAATGCTGAGAAGACAGCAGTGTCTGTGTATAAGTGACATCCACATCTGTGTGGATGCTTCTCGGGTGTCTACTCCTTGTTAGAGCCCTGTTTGAACAAGTCAAAGAAAGTTTGCACAAGCTACCATTGCAAAGGCAGAGTAGGCAAGCACAGATGGCATACTGTGGTAAAACTGTAAGGACAAGCAGTTATTGGTAAGTATTAAGGATTGCTACCATCTCTAGATATCAGCAAGAGAAACAGGAAGAATTCCAAAGTGACGGTGATGCTCATGCTGATGGTGACTACATGGGATTTGCTTTTATTTTTATTCAAATTAATTTATGCAAACTTGTTTGTATATATAATATGTTTCATGGTTTTACAATGCGAATGATGCAATTATTCTAAGAAGAAAAACTGGAACCTGCCATTTAAATAGAAAAGCCAAGGCGTTTTGTCTTCCCAGCTCCTGGTTTTATAGACTCAAAGGTGGCTGCTCACCACAGTACATCTCACTTGGAAGTGTTAGTCCCAATGCAGTTTCTGAGAAAGGGGGCTTACTGCTTTTCTGATATCGGTGTACTGCCTCCCTGGTAACAGAGTTCTTTATTTATCAGATAAAGTGGTCCAAACATCAGCCTTTTAATTGTAAGGATAGTGTTGGGGGGGTTCCACATGGGTGTATCTCCTTTCCTAGAGAGACACCTGGACTGCTGATTGCTGAAAATACCTGAGAAGATGGGTACAGGCAAGGGCCAGAAACTGGCTGACATCACTGGTGTGTAGAGCTTCGTTCCAGACAGAGGCATATGGTGAAGGAGCAAAAATTAACCAGCCTTTCTGTGCCTGTGCTGTTGGATGGTCAGCTATGGCAGCCTGTGATTGTGTACCGTCTGGTCCAAAGCATCAGAAGCCTTAGTGCCCAGCAGAGCTGCTGGGAGGCTGGGATTGTGAAAACTCAGCTACATTTTGGCCACTTGCTCTTGGAGCTCAGGCCCCACTCTTGCTGTGCCTGGAGGAGATAAAAGGAAAGCCATTGTGTCAATTGACCAGTATTCTGTTTGTATGCTTTTCATTTGGAGCCATTTTATACATTTGCTTTGCAAATGCTCTTTTTTTCCTTAGGCAAAAATTTGAGTGTCAGTTTCCATCCCCAACTTAAGAATCAATGGATGTACAAGGGTGCCTAGAAGAAGGCTCTAAGCTTTCATAAACTGACATTGATTTCTTTGCCTGGAAATAAAATAATAATAATAAGTGTCTGTGACTCATCTTTGGATTTGCATTACAAACAAAATGCAAATGATCCCATTGTCTGCATAACCTATAGATCTCAGAAACATGCTTTGAATGGATACACTTGCAGAAAATTATGTTGTTTAACAAAATCCTACATTTTCTAGTTAAGTATTCAGAGTTTGAGTTCTTGCTTGTGTTGATGACTCATTTTCTCTTTTGTTTCCTGTTTTTGTTCTTGATTTACCTTAACCTACCTGCTGACTCACGTCATCCAACCAACATACAATGCGAAAACCCATGTCTCCGTCTGTATGTTGTGCACCTGCTGCTCAAACCACCCCAATTTGTAAATACTATGCAAAAACCCATCCATGAAAACATCACATATAGGAAACGGTTGGTTTCACGACTTTAAACAGTTCTTGTACCTATTTTCTCTGCCTGCCTTGCTCTTCTCTTGTTTCGGGGCTTCTGCCCACTGCCTTCCAAGGCATGAGCAAGACTTTGCTGCGCTTACTCACCTCTGGCCTCTGTGTGTGTTTTCTAAGGCAGCAAGGGTTTCTGAAGACCTCCAAGAAGCTGTTTGAATCTGTCTGAGGAGTGGAGGTGGGACTTCCTGGGGGGCATGGTGGGCAGTACTTAGGGCAGATCTTTTGCTGAAACTCATTCAGATTTTCGAGGCTTTGTGGGGTGTATTTGGTCCTCATCCCTGTAAATCCATGGTTTCTGTTGCACACTTGTCTCTCTTCCATTATGTCCCTGTCTTGCCAGCACAGAGAATATTCATCCTTGTTGCCAATGCAGGCTCTGGTGAAGAACCCACACGTCAGTCTTGGTTTCTATTGCTGTGATCAAGCAACATGAGCAGGGCAACTTACAGAAGGGAAGGTATTTGGGCCTTATAGCTGCAAAGGGATTAGAGTCTATCATCATAACAGGGTGTAGGCCAGGAAAGCCTGGGGGCTGGAGCTGCATCCCATGCAAAGAGGGGCAATCCTTTTGAAACTTCAAAACTTACCTCTAGTGTCATATTTCCTCTATTAAGGTCACGCCTCCCCAACTGGTGACTGTTCAAACATTCTGTGGCTGTTGAAGTATTCAAATGTCCAAGACTTGCAGGGTCCTCATCCCTGTAAATCCATGGTTTCTGTTGCACACTTGTCTCTCTTCCATTATGTCCCTGTCTTGCCAGCACAGAGAATATTCATCCTTGTTGCCAATGCAGGCTCTGGTGAAGAACCCACACGTCAGTCTTGGTTTCTATTGCTGTGATCAAGCAACATGAGCAGGGCAACTTACAGAAGGGAATGTATTTGGGCCTTACAGCTGCAAAGGGATTAGAGTCTATCATCATAACAGGGTGTAGGCCAGGAAAGCCTGGGGGCTGGAGCTGCATCCCATGCAAAGAGGGGCAATCCTTTTGAAACTTCAAAACTTACCTCTAGTGTCATATTTCCTCTATTAAGGTCACGCCTCCCCAACTGGTGACTGTTCAAACATTCTGTGGCTGTTGAAGTATTCAAATGTCCAAGACTCACAGAAGACATCTTCAATCCCCACCCACCCACCCAGTAGCATCCATCCCTTGCAGACAAGCTCTAACTTAGAGTGTCAGAGCTGAGGCATGAGGCTTAAGGGAGGGTTGGAGATGGGTTCCATGATTCAGAACAAGTTTGTGTTGGGCCTGGCTTGGAGGAGACTGCCCCGGTGTATTAGAACTCATGGCTCCCCATCCATGTCCCTTTGCATTTCACAGATCTATGAGCATGTCTTGCTCAGGTTCCTATGGACTTCAAGTGCCACCAGGCCTCTTGCAGGTCCTTGAGGATTTTAAGAAGAGAGTAAGGGAGTTTGGTAGCAGCTCATCTTCTACTGTGGCTATGGAAGTTCATCCACAAAGACAGATATTTGATATCCCCGTTGTGGAAGCTGAATTCTTCATGTAAGGTTTTATAGCTGGAGTTATAAAAGCTTGAGTTTTGAGGAGGTACCATGATACTGCAGAATCCAGCCAGGCCAGGCAGTTTCACCTCCTTATCTCTTGTCTTCCTCTAAATAGCACACATGACCACCTAATGTCTGTCTGTCTCTTTCCATCTCCACCCCCTCCCAAAACATGCCCCCTTTAGAATGAATGAAAAGAGTAACTGGTTTAGAACTGCAGGATTTTGTCCTTTGGTGTGGTGCTTGACCAGCAGGTGTCCATAGGTGTGGGCTTTATGTTCAGGTGACGTTCAGGAACAAGTTCTCCCTGTCTTGTGACTAACTTGAGGCGCCATGGTGTAGTTAGATGCCAGGCCTTAGCCGAGCTATCCTTGTTGGCAGTGTCTTACAATGCTTAGTGTACTTTCAAGCCCCTCCCCCACCAATTATGCCTCATCACTTGGGTATGGATGCCTCTAGTGTCTCCAGGTTGTTGTGAGCAAGGAGGCTGAGGCTAAAGTGTTAGGGACTGGCGTCTCCCCAGGGTCAGTGATCCTTACAGTGACACTACCCGTGGCTTAGTGAAGCACAACAGCCCTGGGAGTGGAGCCACTTCCTGTGCAGCAGAAACCATGGGTCCTGGGAGCACAGGGCAGGTCTGATTACCACCAGTGAGGTGACCAAGCCAGAGGTGAAAGTCCACGATGCACAGCTGTATGCCTGTCCTTTGCCATCCTGCATGTGAGAGGCATGGTGGTGCCTCGCCCATCACTCAGCGCTTGGGGCATCTGGCAGTTATCACCATCTGGTCTCATGGTGCTCTAGGGTTGCCTGTCTATTGCTGCCCCGTTCAGTCCTGAGTACTTATGGAGCACCCAAGAGCAAAGCTTGGGTGGAGGGGTGTGAATCATTGTCAACAAAGAGATGACCATGGTTCAGTCTTGCATTCATGCCCCAGGTCATCTAGATATGCTATTGTTTACAGAGCCTCCCCACTATCCCATTGTCTTCTGTCCTGCCATTACTACAGGGAGCCTTTATTTCCCCCTAAAATCTTCAGGAAGTCTCTCTGATAAGTACCTCAGTAACAGCTGCTTTGAGTTGGGCAATCATTGTATTGTTATAATCCTTGTCCCTCAAACCCAGCTGAACAGTTAGTTACAAAGTAGAAGCCTGGAGAGGGGTGGGAACCTGCCCCTGTCTCCTCAATCTTGGTATTAGTAGACAGTGGTTCTTTGCCACCATGTCTGTTAATGAGATTCTTTCCTCATTTCAAGCTAGGAATCTGCCAGCTGTGTCATCTTTCAGGGTCATGCCCTGAGGTGATATTTGCCCCCTTGCTGACTTGGTCATAGTTTGGGGCCCCTTTGTGTTCACAGACCATTCTATGTAGTGTTTGAAATCAGTTCTGCTTCTAGGGCTTCAACATCCTTCCCAGAGTCACCTTCAAGGTGGCTATACCCCACTCCTTGCATAAACAGTCCAGAAATGCTGTTATTCTGGTTGAGAACCATAAGAATTTGTCCCCAAGAGTGTAAGCAACAGACAAGGCAGAAGTTTCCATTGGAAGTAAGCATGAAACCCATTCCCCCACTGAATGTATCCTCTGCCAAGATGGGCAGCCCTGGAGCATCTTCTCAGGCTCACCCTGCTTCTGTGTCTGCATGCACTGTCCTGCTCTACTGTTTCATTCAACATGTGTTCTCTTTCCTTTTTATTTGTCACTGAATCTTGACAACACAAATGTGTATGAGCCTGAGCTGCTTGCATATTAGAAAATTCCAAGTAGCAGGAAGTTGCTTTCAGTTGATAGCATAGGCATCTGGTGTCTAAATAGGCAGAAAACACCTGGCTGTACAGGTGCCCTACCAATGCATGGATACCTCCCCAGATTCAGAACCCTGGAAAGGCCTGCCAATAATTCAAGGTGCCCAGGGTCAGGTAATCTCTAGAGTCTGGGGTTTAATGGTTTATTATTTTTGTGTGCTTGGTTTTAAACCCTTGGTTGAGGGAACAATGCCAGATGTCCTGGGTTCTCTAGAGCAGAGACCTGTTGAGTATAGGTGGCACAGATAGCTTCTATGGCAGGAGCAGCAGTGACAATACCTACCCCTATGAGAATGTCTGCCAGTACCTGGTCCAGTCCCAGAGAAGCCAGCCAGTGTCTCAGACAGGCAAGGCCTTTACTGATTGAGCTCAGACAGGAAGATTGGCTGCTAAGCTCAGGCAGGTGTCACTTGAGGAATGCCCACTGGAGAGTACCTGGGCAGTTCGGTAGTGTTCTAGAAGAGAGTGCCAGTATTGGAGGCTCATAGGTGATCTTGCAGCACTATCTGGCGGAAGGGAGGGACTTTGGAGAGTTTTTCTTTATGTCCCTTAATGTTGGGGAATGGCCCTAGAGGGAAGGGAGTTTTTTCTGACTTGCTGCATGAGAAGTGACTTTTCTTTTGGAAGGTCTTCTGGCAGCCAGTTGCTGCTTAGACTAAAGCAATGATTTCATTTTTATTTCTTTTAACCACATTTCTTTGGGGGGTACGGGACTTGGGGAAAGGTTGTAGGATGGAAGCAGCTTGTCTGTACTTTTTTGAGAGGGATTCCAAAGATTAGGAAACACCACTTCTTCTTGCAGAACAACTTCATCAACTTGAGCTTCCTCCGCCTCTTCCGGGCAGCACGGCTGATCAAGCTGCTTCGCCAGGGCTACACCATCCGCATCCTGCTTTGGACCTTCGTCCAGTCCTTTAAGGTAAAGCAGGGCTCCAGTGCAGGCTGGGCAGCTCCCTTTGGGCATTTTCTGTTTCCTTCCTTTACCCTGCTTCCTCTCTCCCACCTGGAGTGGACCTTCCTCTGGAAGGCTGAGCTAGGGCAGGTCATGAGTGCCTCTTTGGCATCTGTTATCCTAGTGCAGTTTCTGAAGACATTCTGAGTGAGCAGTAGGTGGTTTTGCTAACTTCCATACAGCTCTGAGATAGGCTTGTGCTCTTGGGTCACAGACAAGCAGACAGGGCCTCATGCTGCTGGAAGGGCTCAGTGGTCAGTGGGGTGGAGTTGGGCCAGGCTGAGAGGTTTGTGTAGCCTCAGGGATGCCCTGGAGCTGATGTGCTCATGTGTCTCCAGGCGCTGCCCTACGTGTGCCTCCTCATTGCCATGCTGTTCTTCATCTACGCCATCATCGGCATGCAGGTGGGTGCCACCTGACCAGATTGGATTGGACACAGGGCTGGCTCCTGGCTGCTGGGTGAAAGGGATATGGGCCATTGTCGTTAAATGATAATAATACGATGAAGTGATCATTTACCGTAAACCAGACACTGGTGTAGACATGGAGTGAATTAAACCTCAGAAGCATTGCTTTGTGACAGAGGAAACCAAGACGGCACAGGTTGGGCTCTCAGCAACCCATTTTGCTTATTCCCATTTCTCTGGGAAACCATACTTTGGTGTTTTTGAAAGTGAGGTCCAGCAGTGCTTAGGGTGTCCAGGCACTTATTTTTTGATGGCATTTGGCTGATGGCTGTTGTGTTGTCTGGCAGCTAGCCAAAGGGTTCCTTTACAGGTCAGATGCCCCTGAGGAAATCCTTCCCAGAATGGAAGCAGAATCCACCCTGACCCCAGATCAGTGAACTTGACAATAACATAGCTTTTCTTTATTTTGTCAAAGGACATTCAAAAGATGTAAATCAGCATCCTAACTGTAAACATGACCACTTCCTAACAGTGTCGATGGGAGGTGCCAAAACCTTGAGCTTTAGTTGAGTTCCTATTTCAGATTGAAGTTTTCCCAGTTTAAAGCTTTTCCGAGATTTGAGGCTATTTAAAACAAACATACACATTTTTTTTTTTTTTTTTTTTTTTTTTTTTTTTTTTTTTTTTGCTTTCGTCTGTGGATATTCAGTAACATGTGTTTCCCTGATCTTTGTGGAAGTGTGATAGTTAATAGACTTTCATTTAGTCTGGTATTAGGCTCAGCATGGCTCTTGACTCATCTGCATTTCTTACCCTGAAAACAGTCTATTAGATTGCCTAAAAACCAACCCAAGGTTTTGGATTAGAGAGTGAAGTGAAGGTCTTCCTAGTCAAAGCAGAGCCCAGCCCCCACTTCTCCTGGCTACTCAGACTTGCATCCTCAGGCAGCTTCAGAGCCCCAGCTGCATGCATGGAGCTGTGAAACTTAGTGTGTTCCACTGAAAGGTTGTCTGTGCTGGGAACCACACTAGCCCCAGACAGCCCCTGTCCCTAGTGTTGTTGTCAATGTTGCATGCACACTTTCTCTTGCCTAGTCTAGTGAGTATAGTTCCCCAAATTTAGCATTGGCACTCTGTTATTTTTCTCCATTTCAGGTTTTTGGAAACATTGCCCTTGATGATGACACCAGTATCAACCGACACAACAACTTCCGGACATTTCTACAAGCCTTAATGCTGTTGTTCAGGTGTGCTGTTTTTAATCTAAACAACATGCCCACTCTTTACTTATGATAAACAAGGGTCTATTCCATTCATGGGTACCACTTCCTTTCCAACACCAAAATTATGCCATTTCTGTTGAGTGAGCCTTCCAGTTGTTTTTCCTTTCTATTTATTCTTTCCAAAGGGCTCTTGTCCATCTTAGCCTCTTGATAGATAGAAAAGAAGTACTTAGCCCCTGTGCCAAACTAGCCTCTAGCACATTGTTTCTGTTCCCCAGTGAGAGCTAAAAGGTGTGTAGAGGCCATACAATCTGGAGAGGACAGCTGGTACTTTGCAAAGTCTCATTTGACATGCTGGTATCACACTGTCGACCTGATACCATATTGGTCACCAGCAACAATGGATGAAGGAGAAACAGAGCACTCAGAGGGAGTTTTCAGCCACTTAGAGAAAGGAGCCAACTTCCCAAAGCTGGTGATCTGAACTGTCTCCATTCTCTGCCCTTCCCTCATTGCTCTCATTGGAACTGCAGTGGCCTAGACTCCTGGGTGCCTTCAGAAAAGTAGCAGGTGACACTCAGAGTCCAGAGCAAGAGGCCCATCTGCACAATTTCTGGGGCTGTAGACATCCCCCACCTTCCCCTAAAGTGTACTGAGGAGACTAGCCATCCACTGCTGTGGTCCAAGAGTGAGCTTGAGTGTAGGATGGAGGTGATATGCTTATCTGCCTCCTTATAGTCTTTTATTTGGCTATCCCTGGCTCCAGACAAAGCAAATGGGCTCTTTGTAGAGATTGATAGTGAGGTGTGCTGAACGTAGACCCTGCCTTGGAACCCGTTCCTGAGATTTCACGACTACGTCTGTCCTGTATACAAATACATCACCCAGTCCTGTGGAGACCCTGTGAAACAGTGGGACTTCCTGATGGCAGATTTGTGGGCAGAATGTACAAAGTGGCAGCTAGACTGGCCGCACAGTTACAGGATGACGAGGACAAGGAAGACTGAGTTTTGAAAGTCAGGAGTGTGCTGGACCTTGTTGTGTCCACACGGGAGTGAGTGCCCACAATGGGCATGCTCCCAGTGTAGCAGATCACTTCTGGTGCTTTCTCAGTTAGTGATAGGTTCAGAAATCTCCTGTGGTCCAGGTTCTGTACTTGTGCAGAAACCCAGAAGAGTAGGTTCCCTCTTCCCAGCTATCCCAGGGGCTCTGCTGGCCGGGCTCTGTGTTTACTGGGGAGCTCCCTCTGGACCTGCCTTTGTGTGCTTATAGCCCTGTCCTTCTCAGGAGTGCTACTGGGGAGGCCTGGCATGAGATCATGCTGTCTTGTCTGGGCAACCGGGCCTGCGACCCATACGCCAACGCCAGTGAATGTGGGAGCGACTTTGCCTACTTTTATTTTGTCTCCTTCATCTTCCTTTGTTCCTTTCTGGTAAGTCCTTTTTGTTGTTGTTGTTGTTGTTTTCCATGTCTGTCTGTCTCAGGCCATCTTCTTTGTTGGTTCCTGATTTTGATTGAGTTCACATTATATGCCAGTCCCATGCTTAAAGCCTTTGTCTACTGTGGTAATGGAGTTCAATAAAGCAGTGTGCCTGGCGTGCTGAGTAAGTGACATTAGGATTAGGTGTAAAAGGTTGGTGGGCTGGTCCTTAGGCATGTGGAATCCAGGGAACCTTGGAGCACTACAGCTTATCTCTGGCTTCTGTTTGGACAGTAAGGGATGGAGCTGCAGAGTGAGTGGGGAGGCTGTTGTGAGAGATAGTAGCTCAGAGATGGCTGAGAAAATTAGGACGAGTTGATCTATAACTCGAAGGTAGAGCTGATTAAAAAAGAGAAAAAAAAGCCACACTCCAGAATTTTCTAAGCAATAAGTGTGGGTCTTCCCTCTGATGAATGCATGAAGCTCTGCAGGCATGGCTTAGAAGGTGCAAGAGATACCACACAGACCTTGGGGCTGGAGATGAGAATGAGTTATCCTTGGGTTGAAGTTTCTGTGTAGCTGAACTGTGTCTTCGGTGCCCATGATGTACAGCCTAGCAACTCTTGTGTGTGGCTTAAGCAATGTGAATCTCTTGAGTGCTTGTTAGGGGGGCAGAGCCCTTGGGCTAGGGAAATGGCTCAGTTGGTAAAGTGTCTGCCACCAAGCAAGAGGACCTGAGTTCCTTGGCACCTATATGAGGGGAGCACAGTATGGAGTTGATTGGATCCTTGAAGCTCTTTAAACAGTCAGTGTAGCAGAATTAGTGAGCTGCAGGTTCAGGGAAAGACCCTGTTTTTAAAAGTATGTACACATATGGACACACCATGCCCAGTGCCCACATGTGAAAACAAGGGGAAGTACATATAGCGTATGCATGCACATATATGTGCTCAGTGTCCACACAAGAAAACAGGAGCAGGTGTACACATACACACATACACGAGGAGAAGAAGTTAAACCCTGCTTCAGACTTAACTATATCTCTGGGGAAAGAATCCAGAAATCTGAGTTTTTCCTTAACAATAAAAATTTTCCTTATTTTTATTTTTGCATATGTATGTCTCACTGTGTGTATAAGTGTGCCCCAAAAAGCCAGAAGAGGGCATTCTATTCCCTGGAGCTAGGGTCACAGGCAGTTGTGAGCCACTTACATGGATGCCTTAAACCTAACTCCAGACCTAACTGGTCCTCTGAGAGGGCCATGGGTGCTCGTAACTGCTGAGTTGAGTCATTTCTCCAACCTCCCCTTTTATGTTTGTGTGTTTATGCGTGTGTTTTCATGGGTGTGTGCATGTGTAGGTGTATATGCATGTGGAAACAGAGGTTTATGCCCGGTATTTCCTCAGTTTGCTCTCAACCTTCTTTTCTGGAAACAGGGTCCCCTACTGAAAGCAGAGTTTATTAGTTTGGCTGGACTGGATGTTTCATGAGCTTCTCTAGTGCTGGGGTTACGTGTCCCTGGCTTAACATGGGTGCTAGGAATCCAAATTCAGGTCTTCCTGTTTCTGCAATGGCTACATTACCAACCAAGTCACTCTCCAGCCTGGAATCTGAGTTTTACTGAGCTATTAGGTTACTCTGTAAAGGTGAAACTTGGAGGAGCAAATGAAAACCACAGGCATTAATGAAAAGGAATAAAGGAAAACTTAATTAAATGGGACAAGACATCACATGTCCATGAGTTGGAGCTTAGTATTATCACAATGGCAATACTCTGGGCAGAAATGGAAAGGCAGATCCTCAAATCGATGTTCAATTGCCAGGAAATAGCCAAAAGCATCTTGAAATACAAGTTTCAGAACTTTCCCAGTTTCAAAACTTACCCCAAACCTATTGTAGCAGGTGGTAGAATGCTTGCCTAGCATTCACAAAACACTGGGTTTGACTCCCATCATGACATAAACTGGGTGTGGCAGGCACACACCTATAATTCCAACACTTAGGAGGTGCAGGATCAGCAGCTTAAAGTCATCTTCTGCTGTATTACAAGTTTTAGGCCAGCCTAGACCTCAAACAAAACAATAGTAATCAAAATAGTATTGTTGACATAAGGATAGATTTTATAAGCCAGTCAAAGAAAGTCAGTAATCTAGAAACAGTCTAAAATACTATGGCCATTGGTTTTTATGTTTATTTATTGTTTCAGATTAATAACATAGCTTTATTGAGTATACTTAATAAACGGGTGTGGGCTGGGCAGTGGGAGAGCGCTGCTTATAGTCCAGCCAGTTCATTTTGGACAAGGGGGCTGGTAGGGAAATAATTTTCTGTCTTTTAGTCTTTCTGTCTTTTCAGGAGTAAAAATTGGGATTTGTGGGATTATGAATCTTTGAGACTGAGGAGACGCTAGAAGTCCCAGTGCAAGGAGGCCTATGGGGACAGCAGGTCTGTCCTTACCCAATAAGAGTGACCTCTACTGTCCAGAGAGCTCTTCATGTCAACTGTGGACAGAGCTTGAGGGCAGGTAAGAAGCACACAGGAGTATGTCACCTCTACTCCTTCTTGTCCTGCAGATGCTGAACCTCTTTGTTGCTGTGATCATGGACAATTTTGAGTACCTCACGCGGGACTCTTCCATCCTAGGGCCTCACCACCTAGACGAATTCATTCGAGTCTGGGCTGAATACGACCCAGCTGCGTGGTGAGTGAGCTCCAGTGCTCTATGTCTCAGGGTTGTCATTACCTGTGCCTCTCAAGACAGGTGGTCTTAGGCAGTTCCATGTGCATGTCCCCTCAGTTGTTGGTCTGAGGCCTAGGGACTCACCCAGTTCCGTGTGTGGTAGCACTGGTCCCCCTGTCAGGAACACGTTCCTTTTTGACCCCATGCCTTGGTGCAGCTCTGGGACAGAGACACAGTCTTTGAGACCCTCAAGATGGTCCCCAGGAGAGTGCCTATGCCTGGGGGTCAAGGAACATTTCCAGGGCTCTTGGCACAGAAGTGTCCTGCCTTCTCCCAAGGCCCGTCTGTGATAGAACATGGAGGCCCAGTGCGGGAGGGTAAAGAGGCAGTGTGGAATTCTCAGGGCTTGGAAAGCAAGTGTACTGTGTGGGGTTTTGTTGTTGTTGTTGCTGCTGCTGCTGTTGTTTGAAGTATTGGTGATTGAACCCAGAAATGTGTGCAAGTTAGGCAGGCACTGTACTAACTGTACCCTCCTTCCATATGAGGGCTTTAAATATTTCCCTAGGAAGACTTGGATTTTCCTCTCCACCATTTCTTTTGAAGAAAGGAGCCAATGTGTATGCCTGTTCCCAGTCCTAATTGCATGTCATAGGCATTGTTTTATTATTATTATTATTATTATTATTATTATTATTATTATTATTATTAAATCCAGAGGAACTGGGAAGGCCTTATTATGTTTTAGCTCCTTTAATCAATGCAGAAAGTAGTTAGTGTGCTCCATAAGTTAGGGGTGATTTGTTTCTAGACAGTAGGGGCCTCATGCAGTGGGTTGGGTTCAAAAGTCCAAGTTGTTTGAAGCCAGGTTCCACAGAGAGCCCTGAACAATCCTGAATCTCCTATGCCAGAGGCCATATGGAGGAAGGCAGGCAAGCAGGACGCCAGGGGCTCCCCATCTGTGCGTGCTCATCCCGTCACCTGCCTAGATTGGTACTTTGACCACCCGTTTCATTTACTCACACGTTCCTTCATCTTCTCTCACCCATCTCCTCGTTCACTTGTTCATTGTGCTAATGACTTTTTTTTTTTTATTCTGTAATCATATCTCAAAAAAAGCAACTTAAGGGGAAAAGTCTATTTTGGCTTATAGCTTTTTGTTTGTTAGTTTTTATTTTATTTTTTTTTTCAAGATAGGGTTTCTCTATGTAGTTCTGCTGTCCTGGAACTCGCTCTGTATACCAGGATGGCCTTGAACTCACAGAGATCTGCCTGTCTCTGCATTCCAGAGTGCTGGGACTAAAGGCGTGTACCACCACTGCCTAGATAATTTGGGTTTACAGTTTAAGAAGTGCTATATGGCCTAGCACGGAGGGAAGGCGTGGTGGCAGGAGCCTGAGACAGCTGGCCACGCTCATAGATGAGTGCTGGTGTTCAGCCCCCAGTTTTTCTTTCTATTCAGTCTGGGACCCCAGCCTTGGAATGATTCTACCTACATTTAGACTGAGGTTTCCCATCTCAGTCCAATCTAGACATTCTGTCACCAAGAGAATGCTCAGAGGCTCTGTGTTGTGTTCCCTGATACTCAGCCCTGCCCATCATACCCACACACTCACTTGCTCTTTCTCATTTGTTTAACTCTTCAGTTCACTTGTTCAGTCACTTAAGTAGTACCTGCTGAGGGCTTCTTCCTGGTAAAGGAGGATATAGGAGCAAGAGGCTAAGAGAACTGGCTCCTGGTGAAGATACAGAGGCCTGATGAATTACTGCTATTTCTAGGATATTTTCCCAAGAGGAATATGTGCTGCAGGAAACAGATGTTCTGTGTGATGCTGCACTTTGCACTGAAGGCCAGCTGAGAAGGAACAGCATCCCCTTAATCCAACTTTACTTCCTGGTAAAGTAGGATATAGGAGCAAGAGGCTAAGAGAACTGGCTCCTGGTGAAGATACAGGCCTGTTCTTGTCTCATTTTCCACGGTTGTTCAAAAACCACTCTGCGAATGAGCAGTTTTCCTTGACTGAATGAGTGGTCATTTCCTATGCCCCGTGGATGGTAAGAAGACTGCAGCTGTATGCAGTTCCCCTTCTGCCCTTGTCTGCCTCTCACGGGTCTGTGTTCAGCATTTTGCTATGGGATAGTTGGTTGAGTGAGGTCAGGTTCCTGGTGGGAGCCTGGAGGACATGGACATGTTAGGCTTCTGGTCAAGACCCTGGGGATGAAAGCAGGGTGTACATGTTTAGGTTTCTGGTGGAGATATGATCAGACTAATGGCTAGAGTCCTATTTCCAAGGAGCTCTTTGGGTTCTGCTTCCTTTTCTTCAGCTTGATGCTCAGCTCAAGAGTGTTCAATAAACCAGTATTGCGGTAGAGTTGGGCTCTCTTCTGCTGGGCTGGATTCCCATTTTTCTGTCCTTCAGCCCCTCCTATGCCCCTAGGGATGACAAGAAGACTGTGGTTTATTCAGTTCACCCCTTCCCTTGTCTGCCTCCTACAGTGTGCTTTCTGAGGTGCTACACAAAGTTGTAGTCCTAGAGGTTTCAGAGCATTGCATTAGGAGCCTGGGACGCAGGTCTCTTCTGTTGGGGTTGTTTGTACTGACATAATCTCCATGTTAATTTTCCATTTATATGAGAATCTTCAGTTTTTTCATAGTCCAGAAGCAGCAGAACCATTTGGACTTGACCAGTTTTTGACTTTGTGGAGGCTTCTCATATCTGATATATCTATGCTTTCCCTACCTGAGAGGCATAGGCCCAGGGTTATTGCATTGGTTCTGTGGTCTGGCATGTCACTGAGATGGGGTGCAGTGCGGATACTGGACTTTGTCATAAAGAGGGCAGGACAAGCTCCAACTGCAGAATTACTCATTAGAACTTCCCAGTGATCCTGGCTGTGACCTGATGAATTACTGCTATTTCTGGGATATTTTCCCAAGAGGAATATGTGCTGCAGGAAACAGATGTTCTGTGTGATGCTGCACTTTGCACTGAAGGCCAGCTGAGAAGGAACAGCATCCCCTTAATCCAATCCTTATGAACTGCACAGCCAGTTCCTACCATCACTTGCCACCAAGAAAAGGAGGGACATGCACAGTAGTGCTTAGCAGGTGGACTTGGACTGAGTACAGCTTTGTGATCATGTACAGTGGAGAACTGGGGGCCCTGGAAGTTACGGGCAAGTTGAAGAGATGGCCAAACACAAGCCTTGAGGCAGAGGTGGCACATGGCCAAAAGATAAGAAGATCAAGCAACTCAAAGTACAAGCACACCAGTGAGCATTGAGGTTGATGCTGGTTCCCCTGCAGACTATTTCAGGAGGTGGATGACTTGATAGTGCATCCAAACAGGATAGAGCTGGATCCTCCATCTGGACAACTGCAAAACTGACAGGTGGTTGTCTTTACTGCCCATGTGACCACATGATTTTTTCATCATTTGGGAAAAACTTTGAAATTATACAAAAACGGTCAAATTTTTTTTTTAGCATTTGTGTATGTGTATGCACAAGCACAGATGTGTGTGGGCATATGCATGTGTGTATATGTGAATGAGCCCGTGTGTCCTATGCATGTGTACAAAAATATGTATACACGTAGGCACATGCATGTATACAAACATATTTTGTGTATCCATGTGAGTTTATCTTTGTGTACCTGTGTGTGACAGCTGTTTATGTGTATATGTCTATGTATGTATGGTAAGTGTACATGTATGTTGTGTGCATATATAAGTCATTACATGTATGTATGTACTTGTTAGGGTGTTTATATGTCATTTGTGCACTGTGTGAACTTACACATGCCGTGAGATACTAAAGTCATGGAGCTCTTAATAGCTGTGGCTGCCTTTCCCCAGCCTCTGTCTTTTGCTTCAATACAAAGTATGCACTATGTGAACTTACACATGCCGTGAGATACTAAAGTCATGGAGCTCTTAGTAGCTGTGGCTGCCTTTCCCCAGCCTCTGTCTTTTGCTTCAATACAAAGTGTAGAAGCATGGAGACTCAAAATGAGAACAGTCACACATTCACCCATCTGTCTGTTCAGTGAACATTTCCTAAGCATCTGCTGTGTCCTGGTCTGCGGTCCCCAAGGTGAAACCATCAGCAAGGCTGTGTGATGGGATAGTCGTATGGCCATAGCTTGAGGCCAGGATGTTTTGTGGGAGGGAAAGATCACATCTGAGCTGTACAAAAGGAGGCAAGATGAACTGAGTTCTAGGTCACTCTGAGGTGGGTACAGATGTGAGGGGAGAGCCAGATAGACTGTACAAGGCTCGAGTGAGTGCTAGAAACTGGGAGAGAGTGAGACTGAAGTAATGTTAAATGGGTAACTTTGCTTTTTTTTTACTTGATAGACAGTGGGAAAGCTTTTGAATATTTTGGGAAAATTTTCCAGAAATCGCAGGATTAACAGCATCATGCCCCAACTTTTCTATTGCTGTTATATTATGGGCTTGATGGATAGGCCCCCATTGTAATTGTCCCTGGGGTCCGTTTTTTACTTGATAGACAGTGGGAAAGCTTTTGAATATTTTGGGAAAATGTTCCAGAAATTGCAGGATTAACAGCATCATGCCCCAACTTTTCTATTGCTGTCATATTATGGGCTTGATGGATAGGCCCCCATTGTAATTGTCCCTGGGGTCCAGCAAGATTAGCAAGCATGGGGGAGGTCCGAGAAAAACTCCCCCTTTCTCAGAAGTAAATTGGTCCTGGTTTGTCACTGATTGGACTGAGACAGTAGTAACATAGGAGAAAACAGGGTCAGTGCCCACTGAATCTCAGGGGAATACCAGTGTGTCAGGGAGATGGGGACAACTGAGAGGCATTTAGATGTGAACTTCTGTGTAGGGTTTCTGCATCCGAGAAATGGATGGGGTGCACCATGGTAGTGAGAGCAAAGGGGGGGGGGCACATGGAGCAGGCTCCGGCACGCAGGAGCTGAGGCAGGGGACAGACAGCAAGCACATGGGCAGGGCCTGTTTTCCC